GGTCGGAATTGGGAAAAACGGAGGAAAGGGAGTAACATTCTAGAAGCAAAAAAAGGAAGGGAGGGAGGGGAGGAGGAAAAGGGTGGTGGAGGAGGAAAATCACAGACGCAACCTCGAATTCCTTTCTTACGAACATCTCAATGTTAAAAGCATCTCTTCTCTTCGCCTACAAAAGATCCCTATCTTGATTTCCCTTCAACAGGCAGCAGCGTATCTCCCGGCACGCATCTCCCGGCACTCCTCACCTGGGAAAAGCAGCAACGCTCTCACTCCACCCAATCCCCCGACGCCACGTGTCCCCTCGCGTCCACCTCCCCCGCGTCAGAAGTAGCGCGTGGAGCGGCGCGGATCGAGGCGCGGCGACCAGTGCAGCGCGCATGGCGGCGGGACTTGCAAGGAAGCTTCGGGAGGGTTGCTGGGGAGAGATACAGGGACGGAGCGGGAAGGAGAGGAGAGGGCGCAGAAGCGGCGACAAGCGGCGCGGGTGGGGGTAGGGCATAAAGGAGACCTGCCTTTGAGTCGACTCTGAAACGAGAGGGGGGGCAGCAGCAGCAGCAGCAGCAGCAGCAGAAGTAGCTTCGTGATACGGCCACAGCCTGGCAGCGACCTCCTTTGCGATCAGACAATCAGACGATCATACGATCGTAAGAAGGACTTGCGGTGATCACAAGGTGAGGAGGCGACAGGCGGGGACGCAGCGGAGAGCGGAGCGATGGGAAAGACTAGAAAGCGGACGACGGCGAATGGCGGAGTTTCTAAGCGCTAAATAACGTGTGCAACAGGTGGTCACGGAGGGAAAACGAGCAGCAGGGGAGAGGCTGCACGGCGAAAGAGCGCGAGAGTCTCCCGCTGAGGATCGTTGCGACGAGGTCGCTACGCGCTACGGGAGAGTAAATGAGACGCGCGTAATGCAGGCATTTATTCCTAAATTCATCTGTGATCCTAACCTTATGCGCGCTGTCGGCCTGTCTGTCTGTTTGGGTGGCGCGCTGGCGGTTCTCCCACCTGGATCCAGCAAATACAGTTTGCGCGCGCGCACTTGCGCTTGTGGGTTTGCGGGGAGGGGAGAGCGGAAGTCCGAAAGGCCGCGGCATGTTGCTGTGCGAGACGCGATTGGATGGCTTAGGGCGTGTCCAGCGCGTACATTTTGGGAATATTAGTACCTTCACACGTTTCCCGGCTCAAAAAATCTCACTGTACCAAAAAACGAATATAAGGTGAGTCGAGTCCGAAGGGTTGGGCCTTCCAGCGCGCGGACACAACCCTCTGCACACAAATTTCTACAGTTCGTGGAAAACGAGGTAACTGGTTGCCTCGTCTATCATCGCACAGAAATTCACGCACAAGCGAAAATTCCACGCTTGAACGAAAATTACTGTAGCGGGCAGGACGCAATGCTGTACCCTTGTTCGCGCGCACACTGATTCCAGTAACGTGTGTTAGACGATTCGTCGTACGCGCAGCGGGCGTGCCGTCTTGTGAACGGAAGCTGATCGTGTCCAACCTTTTTGTAAAATGCAGTGTTACAATAGGAAATGTGGTAACTGAATGGGTTTATGAACTGTAAATGTACGCGCTGGACACGCCCTTAGCGCCTGAACTGGATATTGGTGTCTGGTATTTGGCGCGAACGAGATGGCGTGGCATGGCATGATGGACCATGCTGCAAGAGGATAAATGCTCACTGCAGAAAAAATCGATACTCAAACGCTAGGCCTTCATGTAGCTCTTACGAAACTTCATAGCCATTTATGACAAATATAATTGCACCGTATCATAACACTACAGTTACAAGTAACAGACTAACCTTACCAGCCTGATGCGCAAGCACGCCGGTATATCCAAAATTTGGAGTTTAGCATAGTCCTTAACCAAACAGAGAATCCTCAAGGGAATACAGGCCGGTAGCTGGTCCAATGAATCGGAAGAGGATCCACGCACCAGCCAGAACAAAAATGGCCTTGTACGCAAAATCGTTGAGCTTGGCAAGGCCACCTTCCTTGGCCAGCCATGCTTCTACCAGCTTCTCAAAACTCGACTTCTCACCCGACATCCTAAAGACAGGCTCTGCAGCCTTCGGGGGAGGTGTCGGCTCAGGCTCTGGTGTGACACTGGAGGAGGGGACAAGGGAGTGCAGCCACGCGGGGCCGGGTAATGGCGGAGATGAAGCAACGCGTGTGGCAGAACGAGGCGTATGCAAAAATGCTGTTGTTGTTCTGGCTATGCAACTTCTAGGCCGAAAGGAAGAACACATCAAGAAACTACCCTCCTCATCCTTGTTCCCGTCCTTATTCTTACCTCCAAATAGTGCTTTTGCCCTTCCCCAGCCTCTCCTCCAGTGCCGCTAGCCTCTCCGCGGAGCTCAGCTTGGGCCCCTCATCCTCCTCAGAACCGCTTTTCCCTCCCTGCGACCATCATCGTGCAACATTCATACAGCGTGTATTATTGGGTCACAAATGTAAAACCAGGATGTGAACCTCCCAGCACCACGTGCTTCTGCAGCAGCTGCAGCTGCTGCGCGATGCTCTCGCAGCTTGCTCAACTGATTATACATTTTTTGCCGCTGTATTTGCCTGTAGCATCTTGCGCGAGTGGCCAGCATCTTGCTACAACGACTAAAGGTCTAGCTACCAAATTCGACTAATCTTTGCCGATCAGAGCCTCCCTTAGGTAGCTAATAACATTTTCTAAAGAAAAAACTGTGACGCTGCACTTAGCATAAAACGATACATTCACAAAAACGGTCCAGTGCACAAACTACTTCGAGCCTCACCTTAGCTGCCCGTACTACAAGACGTTGATGCCGCAGCTCTCTACTTCTCAGTGTGAGCCGTGCTGTGGTTGACTCGCTCCTGCACACACTTGCGCCCGACTGGAAATGTCGCGACGCGCTACACAGAACAGGCAGGGTTGCTGCTGCCATTGCTGTAACAGCGGCCATGGTGCGTCTGGAGGGGAAGAGGAGTAACACAAGAATTAGGGGTAGAAAGGGATGGTGGGGGTGGGGATTGTTGAGGCAAAAGAATGGAGGGAATGAGGATTGTGTTTTGGTTGCTACCAACGGGGAGGGAACAGCGAACAATAGCGACAATGGCGAAGCGAGATTCGACTGTACTCTGGCGTTGACGAGGACATTCGCAAAGGTCGCCATTCCCGGTGCTTGCGTGGCTGTCTCTTATTGCCCCCTCTCCGAGAATGTTGGAGCAAAATCGCAACGAGGGATTCCAGAAGCTCAGATAAAAGGACACTGTATACACTGTTGCACTTCCAAGAGAACTACTTGTACGTACCAAATCAACACAACATTGGCCGTCACAATTGATTTCCGACTCAAATCATTAGAGATTTCAAGTTTCCAACAAACAAAAAATATGGTATCCATGTCAGATGATCAGGCATGTGGACCAGGCCAATCCGGAGTCTCAGAGGCGTCATTGTGAACAAAGTAGCTTGCAGAGACAATAAGATACGAGAGCACCAGCATGATGCCCTTGAAATAATTAGCTTCTCCTTCCTGCAATCAACAGAACGCAAGTGGGGTGGGGTTACACGGTGAAGCAAAGGCACACGCAACACAACAGGTACTATACAGTTTTTTGAACCCAGGCACATGTGCAACGCAATGGGAATAGTGAGAACATAAGCACAACAACAATTATGCCACCCCTTTTCCCCTCACAAACTGTGCGGACTTACAGCAAGCAAGGCCGCCACGACAAGCACGGTGACAAAGAGAGTGGCCGTTTCGAATATGTGGAAGTTGAGATCCATTGGCACTCCCATGGCCCATCCTAGCACCACACATAGCGGAATCTGGGAGGCCAGGGACAGGAGCATTGGGTGAGGAGTTGGTGTTTGAATTCTAAACATCAGCAAGTACACAAACAAGAAAATAAAAAAGGCGAGAGGAAATGCGGTGGACTAAAGAGGCAGGGAGTGATGGAGCAAGCAGGAAAGGTGTGGGTTTTGGAGAGTCAGGTAGAGGGAGGGACTGAGAGAATGGGGGGATCTGAGAACAACAGAGGAAAAGGCATGAAGGGATGGATGGGGTGCCTGTACCTACCTAGCACCGAATCAATACAAATGACCATCTCAGGCAAGGAAAGGAACTAACCGCAAACATGGAGATTTGTGTAGAGGACCCAATGGCAACACCAAGAGCAATGTCCTGATGGTTGGAAGGAATGAAACAGATGAAGGGGAAAGGGTGAGAATAAAAACATCAGATAAAGGCGAAAGGAGAAAAAACAAGAAACGTCAGATGAAGGGGAAAGGAGGAAAATAACATAGAATCAAAGCGGGACACAATGGTGATTGAATGTTATGAGATAAGGATGGGATAAAAAGGGACAGGAAGGACAAGATGGCATGAGATGGTATGGATGGATTGAAATGAATGAGGCCGAAGGGGCATGATGGAATCTCCTATGAGGCATGAAATGGCAATAAACACTACCGGTTCTGTGTGCTGGTGGGATGGGAGTAGGTAGGAGGAAGGGTGTGAGGCAACAGCAAAAACGTGGAAAAGAAGTGGAAAGGGAGCGAGCACGTGCCACTATGCTCAAGGAAAGCGGAAAACACAAGTGCTCTCTAGGCCACGCTAAACGACGGAAAAAAAAACACACGCGCGCGCGCGCGCGCACACACACACACACAAACACAAAAACAAAAACAATGATAAACAAACATGAAATTAAGGGGCAGGGCAGGGGCGGAGCGAGAGGCAACGCACAAGCTTGTTTTTGATGGCGAAGATGATAGCAGAGGCGTGCTCCGCTGCATTGCCCACGATGGGCAGGATGACCACACTGATGAACGCCACTGGCATGTCCCAGCTGTTGCTCGCTCCCTGGGCACACGCACAGGGGGCAAGGGGGGAAGGAATGGCTTTTGGGTCGACTCAGAGGTCACCTCATTGCCCACGATGGGCAGGATGACCACGCTGATGAACGCCACTGGCATGGCATGTCCCAGCTGTTGCTCGCTCCCTGCACGCACGTCGCACACACATATGGGGTAAAGGAGGGAAGGAAGGAGTTGTTGGGAAGGAGTGATTGGATGATGACGGGTGAAGGAGAGTTGCATTGAGGCGCCTCAAAAGGCAGTCCCACCTTGATCAGTGGCATGCAGCGGGCATGCCGAGAGGATGGCGACGCACAACCCTATTGAAGAGTCGTCATCCCCTCCGCATACATACAGTGACGACACCCTTTTAAGTTGACGCAAAAAGGCCACCCCGGCATGACTGGCGGGGGTATTGCAAGGAAGATGGTGATGATGCTTATCTGAATTGACTCGACTCTCAAGCAAGTAGTCTTTCCACCCCCCCACCCTGCACGCTCAGCACGACTAGCACACGCGCACCTCAATGGCGTCGACGAGGTATTCCGAGAGGATTGCGATGAAGATGGTGACGATGCCCATTTGAATCGACTCTCAAACAAGTCACCTCCCAATCTGAATGAACGCTCTGCACTACTATCACGCACGCACCTCAATGGCGTCGACTAGATACTCCGAGAGGATGGCGATGAAGATGGTGACGATGCCCATCCACACTATGGACCCCCACAGCCCCAGCACCTCCTCCTCCTCTTCCTCCTCTTCGTCGTCCTCCTTGCCCACCTCCAGGTCCTGCTGGCCCGCAGGTTGGTTGGAGCAGGGGAATGGGAGGAGAACGGGGGAAGGGGAAGGGAGCAGAGGCATGGACGGGTGCAACGCTGCAAGGGAGTGGTGTGGTGTGGGCCGTGCAACGTCGTCCTCCTTGCCCACCTCCAGGTCCTGCAGAGGGTGGGTTGGCGTGGGGCATGGGAGGGACTGGGGAATGAGAGGAGATTGGGGGAATGAAGGGAGCAGGTAACGGGAAGGAAGCAGGAGAATGGGGGGGGCAGGGGGGCAGGAGAATCGGACTATTGCACGTTCCTGAGTCGACTAAAGAATCCCTCACTTACCCCCTCCCTCTACCCACCCTAGGGCTGGCAATCGTGGTGGCGCCCGGATGCACCATCTTCATTTTCGGGCTATTGCACGTGCCAATCACCGCGGCCTCTCAATTCCTGAGTCAACTAAAAAATCCCTCACTTACTCCCCCCTCCCACCCCCACCCACCCTAGGGCTGGCAATCGTGGTCGCTCCTGGATGCACCATCTTCATCCTCGGACTATTGCACGTGCCAATCACGGCCGCCTTGCCCGCCTTTGCACTCCCCGCCGCATCCCCGCCCGCGTTCTCATCATACAGATGCACGTGGGACTTGAGCTGGAAGTAGAGGTACGCGCCGTAGGCTGCGAGCATGATGCAGCTGCTGATGCGCGAAAGGGCAAGCTCCGAGTCGTTGTCTCGGATCTCCGTGTGTGTGGAGTGCAGAATGGCGGGGAGGGCGAGGCCCATCACTGCCATCAGCAGCAGCCCGGAGTTCACCAGTGCTGCCGTCTGGGGAGGGGAGAGGGGGGAGTGTGTGGGGGGCGGAGGGAGGGGGGAGGGGAGAGTGATGGATGAGGGTCGGAACAAAAGGCTATCGTGGAGATGGTGGAAGGATAGCGGAGAGGAAGGAAGTATGGGGAAGGGGAATGGGGAGGGAGGGGGTTCTGTGGAACCACTTTTGAGGCGCCTCAAAAGGAGGGGATGCGAGAGGGTTAGGAAGTGGGTTCTGTGGAACCAGGAGATCTTGCAGGGAATTTTTGAAAAGCTGACTTTTGAGTCGACTCAAAAGTCTTGCAGGGTATTTTTGAGAATTTTTAAAAATACCCTGTAGGTTCTGTGGAACCAGGACATCTTTGCAAGAACCTTAGTGTCATGCCAGAGCAAGCGGAGGAGGATAGGGACGTCAAAACGATCCGTGATACGAGACAGTCTCAAAAGTCGAGCGCTGGATCCAAGCATTGTTCAGGTTTCGGGTTTAAGGAACTGCATTCTGGGTTTCAGGTTTAGGGTTTTGTTTCAATGGTTGAAAGTTCAGAGGACTCAGCAGACCGGGGAAGGAGAGGCAGAAAGATGAGGGGGGGGGGGGGGGGGAGAGTGTGAAAGTGTCATTGCCCGAAGTTTGTTATAACTTATAAAACATAGACGTGCTGTATGTCGAGGACTGTGCCGATGGGTAGGATTGTGGAAGAAGACGAGGTGAGCAAGTGGGTAAGTGGGTGGGTTTAGTTAGAGAAGGAGTGACAAGGGGGAGGGAAGGGAGGAAGGGAGTTGTGAAAGCACGTTTCCATGTGAGATTGTTGGAACTTCTGACTTTCAGTACACGGTTTTCTTATACACACCCTGAGCCCATTGCCGCTCTTTCCCTCTCCCTGACCTGCTTTCCCTTTGCCTCTCTTTTCTCCCTCCCTTGTCTGCTGACATGCACCTCTTTCTACTGCCACCCTGCACTTGTCGCCCTCTCCCCCTCCCTCCCTCCCACCCACCCTCTCTCCCTCTCCCCCTCCCTCCCTCCCTCCCACCCACCCTCTCTCCCTCTCCCCCACCAACCCACCTTGTTGAATTTCTGCTCGCGGTAGCGCAGCCCTCCAGCATAGAAGGCGCAGCCGAGCACGAGCAGCATGTTGGAGAGGATGGAGCCCAGCAGCGACAGCTGCACCCCTTGCGTGCACCCAAACCCCCCTTCCGACACATTCAATTGAACCCCCAACTGCTTGCCCTGCGCGTCTCCCCCTCTCACTTGCTTTTTGTTGGCCACAATCTCAAACGGTCCTCTCTCTCTTTCTCTCTCTTTCAAAACTCATCTCCCTCTCCTTCTCTCCCCCTCCAACTCCCTCTCCCCCACCCAACCACCCACCCACCTTGTTGAACTTCTGCTCGCGGTAGCGCAGCCCTCCAGCATAGAAGGCACAGCCGAGCACGAGCAGCATGTTGGAGAGGATGGAGCCCAGCAGCGACAGCTGCACCACGCGGATCATGCCGTTGCGCAGCGCAAACACGCTGATGATCAGCTCCGTGGCGTTGCCAAACGTGGCGTTCAGCAGCCCGCCCACTGGTGGCGAGAGGAAGGGAAGGGGGGTGGGTGGTGGGGGGAAGGGGAGGGGGTTTTGAGAGAGAGGAGTTGCACAGTGCACGCACGCTGATGTTCAGCTCCGTTGCGTTGCCAAACGTGGCCTTCAGCAGCCCGCCACTGGTGGCGAGATGAAGGGAGGGGGAAATTGGGTGGTGTGCGGGGAGCATTTGAGCAGGGGTGTTAAACGCGTTGATGATCTGATTTGTCGTTGTGCATAAGTGTGAACGAGAGGCAACAGAGGAAGTGGGCGGGGTTGAACGGCCTTACAGGTTGGACCGGTGTAGAGTGCGAGTTGCCTGAGATGTAAGAGGCAGAGGGGATGATTCATACACAGTACCATGCAGGGAGAATCATGCACAGGAGGAAATGCAAGGACATGCACGCACAGCCACATTCAGATGAGCGCACACATGCATGGACACACGGATGCACACACACAGAGAAGATTCGCAAGCACATCCAGACACGCATGCACGCACACAGAGGGGAAAAGAGAGCTTTTTATTTACTTTGTTGGCGCCAGACAGAGGGAAAGGAGTTACAACAGAGGGACACTGACATGACGTGCAATGACATCCGTGTGGCGCATGAGGAGGCACACAGAAGCTGAGTATAGCAGAGGTATTGTTATGCCAATTCCAACTCCCTCCCACCATACCATACCATGCTACCACACAGTACTATTTCTACGGCCCAGCGCATGCCAGGCCATTTCCTCGCCATGCCATGCCATGCCATGACTCACTCAGTGACATATCCTAGCCTTTCCGCCAAGGGAGCGATTCCAAGGAGAGAAAAGAGGAATATGTAGCCCTGCCGACATGGGGTGAGGGGAGTGTGAGGGGGTAGGGACGGGGAGTGAGAGGGGTGGGGGAAGGGGAAAGAACAGGTTGAGTAGAGTGAATTTGGGGCAGGAAAAAATGGGGCAAGAGGCACTATTAAACCTCAGATTTTTACCAATCCCATTCCCAGTGTATTCACACCTTTCCCCATTGATGCTCTCTCTTTCCCTTGATCTGTGCTCCTCAAACAATGCCCCGAAATGTGGCCGCTACCTATCGATCGTTCCTTTCAAACTTCCCAAAGAAAAAAGCAAGGGCTTCTGTGCCTCCTACTACGACCCATAATGCACCTGACCTGATACGCCTGATTCCAATTACTCCTATGACACCTGTTGCTTTTGTTGTGATAAGTCCAATGACTTATACCTCCTATCAGTCCCACTACTCTTGTGAATCTTACTGCTCCTATTACTCCTATGCCTCCTATGCATATTATCGCTCCTACCCTACGCCCGCAATTACCTGCGACACTTCCAGCTGCACGCACACAATGGAGATCACAACGAACGGCATCATTCAGCTAGTTTTGAGGCGCCTCAAAACTAACATCCTAAGCCCCCACCCCCTCAATTACCTGCGACACTTCCAGCTGCACGCACACTAGCGATCACAATGAACGGCATCAGGAGCACGTTCAGCTACTTTTGAGGCGCCTCAAAACCAGCATCTTAAAGCCCCCACACCCTCCATTACCTGTGACACTTCCAGCTGCACGCACACAATCGAGATCACGATAAACGGCATCAGCACGTTCAGCTTTGACCCCATGAAAATCTCCGTAAGGCTCCTCTTGAAATACTCCTTCCATTCCTCCTCTGACAAACTCGACCCGAACCTTCCTCCGCTTCCGCTTCCCCCCACACTCCCTGCCCCCCCCTGACTCCCCCCACCACCGCGCTTCAGGATTCCCTTCAGCAACCCCCGCCCCTCCCCCCCATCCTCCTTTCCGCTCAAAAACCCCTCCGAGTCTTCCCCCGTGCTGCTGTCCCCCAAATCTCTCCGCCCTGGTTTCCGCAGCCTCCCCCTTTTCGTCTCCGCCGCAACCACTCCGCTAACCCCGCTTGCGCCGCCGCCACCGGTGGTAGCGCCGGTGGATGCGCCGTTGACGACGGCGCTAGTAGATGCGCCGGTCCTGGGTTCGACAGGTCGCAGCGCGCTTCCCTCCTCCTCGATTTCCGGAGCGGATGCAAAGGGCCCGCGCGGTAAAGCGGGGGCCATGGTGGTGCGCGTTGGTTACGGGTGTGCGTGGGATGCGGGGAAGGAAGGCGCAAGGTGTCAAGCTGATGGGAGAAAATCGGTGGAAAAGAGAGCACGGGCGTGCGCGCGGGTTCTTGAGAGGAATATGGCGGCTCTGACCGGTGTTAGAACAACATTGGATGGTGACGCTGGTGTGCAATGCGTTGCTGTTGCTGCTATTGTTGCTGGTGAATTAGCAGGAGGCCCCGACTATTCTTGCCTGGGGCAAGACGCGGTTGCTGCTCTTGTCCATCTCAAGAGCGCACAAGCACCGAGCAGTATGTCGATCTCCGCACACTGAAACACGCAACCGCTGCTTCCTTAAAGCCCCTTCTTTTACTGCTTCCAGACTGTGAGGGGTAGTGGGGAGTGTGGGTGAGAAAGGGAGGAGAGGATCGAAAAACAGGAGATTAGATTGGGAGCTTTGGTCGGCTGAAAGAAATGGAGAAGGAAGAATGAGTACCGGGATTGAAGTGCGGCATCAGCTCGTTGCATAGGAAGACACACGACCACGACCGAGACCCAGTACGGATCGGATTCACGGATTAATCACAGCGCTGCCCAAAAGATTGTCTGAAGATTCTGCACAGCAGCATAATCCTCACAATGCGTGCGCAGATTCGATTTCAGCGGAGTTACCATCGGCAATGGAAAGAAACAAAGACGAAATCGAACTGTCGAAATGGTGACAGCACGGACGGACCTTGACTGGCGGGTCACGGAAACGAAGTCATCGGCGCGTTGGGAATGAGTCCGCCGTTCCTTACGCAACGACGTGAGATGGCCGCCTCGAAGGGAACCAGGCAGGTAAATGCTAGAGTTCGATCACACTCCAGTCTCGAGCATTGGTCCCACGCAGCTGGATCTCGATTGGTCGTTACTTATCTGGCGACCCTCGATGCTCGAGCATTGATCCCACGCGCTGCTCGAATTGCACCCTCTCGTTCGAGAAATTTTCGGACGGAAATTTGCTGCGAGGGTCAATGGCGGCGGCTGAGCCGATTGTTCAATGCTTCCTCCTCACACAATTGCTAGCACAATTGGGCACGATAGCAGATTGTATCATGGATTGCACTGATGCGGATGCGCGGCCAAGTTCGATGCGCAGGTACATGAGCATAAAGAATTTCGGAGTGCGGTAGCGGAGCGGAGTGGAGGGAATTTCGGCTGCTGGTGATTGATGGATGGACTTGTGTGGCTGTGGAGTGTGCGAATTGAGGGGGGAGGGAGTGGGGGAGGGGGCGGGGAGGGAAGAGAGGAGAGAAGAGCGGGAGGCAGTGGGAAAGGTGGGTGCGGTGCGTAGGCAGGCGGCGAAAGTAACGGATTTGAAAGCGGGGGGGAGGGCGGAGCGGAGCTGGCACTTCAAAATCCCCCCCTGAACCCAGGACCTTGGCGACATGACCAACCAGCCACCCACCAACCAACAAATCCCAAGGTGCATGGCCCTCCAAAATCTGTAAGGGGACGGTCCCTCCCTCCCCCCACACACAATCATCTTCCCCTCCCCCCACCCCATCCATGCCACGAAGCTCGACCAATGGCGAAAGGCTTGGCTTGGCTGTGAGGCTGAGCTAAGCCAAGCATCTACACTAAAAAAGCGCTTATAAACGTATGACAATTATCGCCAAAATGTGAAACCACGTGTAGAATTGAGACGAAGCTAAGCCCTGACCTATAGATAGTGGAAATTGGAGATTCGCATCAGATGGTCTGACAAATATTACAACAAACCAAGAAAGAGAAAATAAGGTGGGGGAGGAGGGAGGGGGGGTAAGGGGAGGAGGTGCGTAGAGAACATGAGAAATCTAAACCAGCCCAGACAGGGAGCGTCTGATAACACGCAGTGCTGCTACCAGCTTGGTTGCTTCTACCCCTCCTTGAACTTGCCAGCTACCCTTCCTGGCGCCTGCTCAATGCCCTACCTCCAGAACCGTTCACAAACTGCCTCTTAAACCTGTATGAGAAGAACAGCAACAGCAACCAATCCCTGTTGCTACGTCCCTCAACTCTTCTCAGATGTGGCTTGGCTCAAGTAATAGGAATAGGAAGGTACGGTGCTGCCGCTGGAAGGTTCTGGAGTTTAGTTGGGAGATTCTGATGTGTAGATAGGAGAATCTGACGCGTTGCTGGAAGAGTCTGAAACGTAGCTAGGAGGAATATCCGACACGTAGTTGGAAGGTCCTGAAGCATCGCTGGAAGAATCTGAAATGTCGCTTGAAGATTCTGCAACATTGCTGGAAGATTCTGAAGCGTCGCTTGAAGGTGTTGTGGTGGACGAAGATGTGGTGGTGCCGGACGTAGCTGTGGAGGTGCCGGACGGTGCTGAGGTGGTGCCAGACGGGGTTGTGGTGGTGCCAGACGGGGTTGTGGTGGTGCCGGATTTTGCTGCTGGCACACAGGTGCCACCGACTGCATTGTAGCCCGCCTTGCACTTGCACTCCATTTCAGTGCCACCTGTGCGTCTGGCACACTTGGCGTTGGCAGGGCAGCCTGTAGTGACGCACGAGGCTTCTGCGGCACAGGCAAGGAGAGAGAGGGCAGGTGAGCATACGGGTTCATCCGGACAGGGAAGCATTCAGAAAGAGGAGAGCAGGAGAGGTAGTGCGGAGGAGAGAGTTGCGGCAACGAGACCATGCTGAGCAGAGCGAAACCATGCGAAGCTTACTGGAAGGCAGGCATTTGTTGTTGACCGCGCTGTAGCCTTTCTTGCACGCGCACGTCACTGCCGCGCTGTCGTCGGTGGGTGGGGTGCATGTGTTAGAGCCGGCAGGGCAGCTCGCATACTGACACAAGTCCTCTGCAGCACCGCGCCGTGCGGAAAGGGGAAAGGGGGAGAGGGGAAATCAGAGATGAGGTGCGGCAACCCACCCACTGGTGTCGTGCACTCTGCAGCGCAGCCAACTGGGCTGTGCAGGTAAGGGTGCGATGTGTGAGAGAGTGAGTGAGTGAGCGAGAGAGAGATAGCGACTTTGCGTGGAGCAAAAAGGAGGAGAGGCGGGCGGGGCAAGGCAAGAGGGGACGCACCTATGAGGCAGAGAGCGGACCTCGCTTTCTCGGAGATATACTTCTCACTCCACACAGGGGGAGGAGGGGCGCCACGAGTTAAACAATCGTTGGTCAGGTGGTGGAGAGAAACGAGCGGCATCAAGAGCATACGAGCATGGAAGCAAGGCGAGCAAGAATGGAAGGCGCACCTCTGTCGGCCATTCGCGAAAACGTCCAACGTCTGTCCTTTGCACTCAGGACCCTGGAAGAACCGGATCGCGCGGCACACAGCCTTGCCCGTCATGCTTGCTTGTTTCCACGGCACCACCACCCGCGTCGTCTGAGAAGGCGGCATGGCAGGAAAGGTGAGCAGCAGCGCACGCACGGCCTTGCCATTCCCCATGCTGCTGATTCCGGCGGACGCCATTCGCTCTTCGACCTTGATCGCCACGAGCAACCCGAGAGCAGGAGTGAGCAGCGGAGCAACCCGAGAGAAAGAGGTGCTAGAGGGTGATTGGTGCTAACTGGTGTAAAGCAGAAGAGGTGACGAGAGCGATCGGCCACGGATGCTTAAATGGGCATCGCAGCGAGCCTACTAGCGTGCGGCGCATCATCCGCTCACGGAGCTCCTGCGCGAGGCTGGAGGGACCTCTTTGGCGGGACGCAGCCCGCGACGGGGCAACGCCTTGGCCATGTGCGACCGCTGTGACAGGAGTCCCCGGAAGGAACGCGTTGCTTTAGGCGCCATTGTGGGCTTCGATTGGGCGTTTCCTGGCTGTGTGCGAAAGCAATAACGACTAGGGATGATGAATCGCGTCACATGGATTTATTGTAGGAAAGTCAGACACCTCACTGTGTTGACGTTCTATGTAAGGTCCGGACGATGGCGACTCCATCGCCAAAATTCTGCGAATCCTCTCACGAGCATTAGCGAAACCGTAACCATACCGACGTGCGGACCTCGCTCGGTTCGGATGGAAAGGATCCAAGTTCACTCTGCACAAATGGGAGTTTGATGAGGAACGCATTGGACTGGCTTGGTTGGTGGGGAGGTGAAGAGGTATGGAATGTTGGCGAAGAAAAGTTCAGCCCATGAAAGGTGTTGTACGCGGTGGAATCAGATGTGTAAAATTGAAAAACGCCTTACATATCGGCTCAATACATCATTACAAGCACTCCAAAAAACACACCGGATTGTAAAGGATCACACCACGGCGAGGATTTGCGCCGCCTGGAACTACCACCTTCGTCCAAACGTTGTCCCGGGTGGCAAGGGAAGCTAGCAACCACAACGAGGGTTTGGTAGTCCTAACTCATCCGTGTGGCTCCAAAGCTAACCTGTCAAAAAGGTGTGCTGCATTTCAGGATTGCTCTTTGAGTGAAAGGCTACTAAAAACGGGACACCCCTCTTGAAACTGTGATTTCTTCTGCCTAGGTTTACGTTCCCTGACAAGTATCGACCAACTGGTTTTTGCGACCAGATAGCTTAGAGGTGTCTTGTTTGGCTTCCAAGCTTTAAGCCTTTTTATAGGATCTTCTGATCGTGGCCATGGCGCGAGAAGAAAAAGGCTCTGCCGGTTGCCATCAACAAGAGCGTAGCATCCTTTGCATCAATAACTGCGGATTCTTTGGCAGTCCCACGACCCTTAACATGTGCTCCAAGTGTTATCGAGATCACGTTCTCAATTCGTCGCAAGCCGAAGAAGCTTCGTCAGCTTTATCAGCACCGTCTAGCAGTTCGACAAAGCCTGCAGGTATGCCATCTCTTACACCCGTTTACAAGCATATCGCCTCATGCATTCACATGTATGGTTTCCACCGTTGTAGTCATGCATACTGTCGTTACTAGTCAGTTTTGAAGATGTCTGATGTGCGTTGTTTAAGGGATACGTCGCACAGCGTGTGAATCTCGTTGCTCACTTACGTCGTGTACTTAGAAGACTTCTAGTTTCTGTTGTTGTTTTTTTTCTGATATGTTGAATTTATTTATCTCTGCAGCTCCATGCGCTGAGAGAGTTTTTTCTCCCTCCTTTCCAGAGGCTATGGAGGCTGGTTCGTCTAGGGTGACCTCGTGTCCTGCGACCAGCGTTTCAGCAAGCGCAGCTGCAGTGGACAACGCAACTGCATCCGCAGCAGCTGCTTCTTCAGCGTGTGCTGCTTCCGCTGCTGTAGCCGCTGCTCCACCGGAATCTCATCCACCTGCTAACCGTTGTCATGTCTGCAAACGCCGAGTCGGGTTGACAGGGTTCAAGTGTCGCTGTGAGGGTTTGTTTTGTTCTCTCCACCGCTACTCAGACAAGCATGATTGCTCCTTTGACTACAAGGCTGCTGGTCGTGAGGCTATTGCGAAGGCCAGCCCAGTGATCAAGGCCGACAAGATAGACCGTATCTGAACATCTTGTGTCTCGATTTGGCATGCTGTGGCGTTACAACTGAATGGAGGTGGTGGCTCGATTGTGGCTGCGTTGGTGAGATGTTCATATGTTCATTGTGGTTGATCTCTGGGTGACTGGATACGTGGCTAGCTTTTGTTGTGCATACGGTTTTGTGTGGAGGGCTATGGTATGGGTTAGTCATAAACACTATGTGCTGCTATGGCTGTGGCTTGTGTGTTTGTATTCAATTACTAGTTCTAGGGGTCGTTCAACGCTTGAGAAATCACATTGCACAACCCAGCAAGGACCAGTAGTGGCTGTTCTGACTGACCGAACGGTACACTGGCTCAACCAAGCCCTGCCACGGACTGAACAATACACACAATCTCAACCAAACCCAGAGCAATCCGAACCGCGATTCCAAGGCAATTCCACAGCGCATCCCTCTGCCTGCTTGCATTCCTCCCTTCACCTTTTTGCCTCCCTTCCACCATGCATGCCTTATGAAACTGCATCGCAGTTCCCAAGACACCTGCAGCGCACATGCCAAAAGAGCATTGCAATTCCCGGCTGAAGCATGCTGCTGGTGTATGCCCTCCCTCGTCCTTGTCAGTACAAGAGACACGCCACTTTTCCCATGGGTTCTGGACTCAGCTGATATTGGATTCACACCCACACCATTTGTAGCTTTCTTCCGACGTTTTATTGAAGCATCGTTGCTTGCCTTGGGATCAGGCACCTTCTTGACTCATCCTTCCATCGGGAGAAGGAAGCGTGCGTCGGTCCCTCGTAGTTGCTGCGGTTGTGTTCACAGGCCATATCATGCCGAACGTAGGGTAGATGACAGTGACAAATTTCCAGTCACAACTGTAAAGCCTCTGACCCACGCACGGTTCTGCTGGAAGGACACGCAACTGTCGTAGCGACTACCTTCCGTGCCTTCGTTTTCCCAAGATGTACCCTCCTGCTGGCTAAGCCATAGATTTATCTGAAAAAGTTTGCGGGATGGACTTTCTCTTGTCAATCCCCGGGCTGGAAATTTCGATGCCAAGCTTTGCAGACCTGCTTCCAGTCGCTGGGCTTACGACTACGATATCATGTCTAGCGTCTGGAATGTTGATACTGAACCATCTTCGCTCTTACACAAAGCCAGATGTATGTATGTAGCTGGATCAGCTTACAGGTTTACCTTTGCCTACACAGGCGACCGAACAGACCAGATCAACGAGCCAATCGTCAAATTTGAAGCGTGAAACGAGATTTCGAAAGACTACTGATGGAGTTGGATTGGGTTCTTGCGTGACTGCAGGAGCAAAAGTGGATAGTAGCATGCGTCTTCATGCCTCCCCTCTACTCCCTCACTGCGGTAATCCTCTCCCGAATCCCTTGCTTCCAGATGACTTAACCAAATTAAACCGTTTTTTCGTTGCTGTCGAATTTATTATGACTTCTTTGAACTCTCTTGCTGGTACTGCCCCGATTCTCTGAGTAACCTTAGTTCACTTGTGCTTGTTTCTTATGTTGTGGACTCTGCAAGCAGTATGTTTCTCTGCATGAGCCGCACTGGCGCTTGCTCTTACTCCTGGTCCGGGAGTGCTATGAGTCAGCTGCGATTTATTCCTTCGCCATGTTCCTAATTTCTTGCCTGGGTGAGCGCTTGTTGTGGCTACAATCTGTGTTGCTATGAATTTCAAGCGCGGTCATAGTGTTTCCGTTTTGCTTCTAAGTTTCTGTAGTTTTGATGGTCGACGATGCTGCTATGTTTTATGTTTTATGTCTTTTGATTTGTTAGCGTTGTTTGTAATTGGTGTTGCGTTAGCGTTGTCCGTCATTGGTATTGCAAAATAGCGATGCATTTTGTCTGGTATAAGGAGTGCGTGCACTACAAGCACCACCCCTGACTATGACCTCAATTTTATATCTCAATCTCCACCCTTCCTCCCATGCCTCCATCCCTTGTCGCTCTTCTACCACTCTCACCAGGTGGTCAAGAGCGTACCATCTGGAAGCTGTCAAGAAGCACTTACCAGCCCTTTGCTCGATCCTCAAACCCCCCTCGCAGTCGTCGCGCACATCCAAATCCACCCATTCAAAACTCCTCCCATACAGCAGTCTCACCACTCCCTGCAAACCCTCTACCACCGGATCACACCACGCAGAAAGCCATCTTCACTCCGTCAATCTTTTCGGCTTGGCAACAAACCGCCTTCTCAGATTCCTCCAGGTCTGTGGGTCCCTCGGTCACACGCAAGGCAAGACCGAAGAGGTTTATTCAAGAGTGCATCCTTGAAGAGCCGCTACTGGAAGAGGATGCTGAAGCTGAGGAGCCGTCCTCTTTATCCTCGCCTACTACTGACCGTCAGCCTGAATCCTTGACTGGGGAGAGTTTTACTGTGCAGCATTGGTTAAGGGATGCTGAAATCAAGGGTGTTTACAGTCAGGAGGAAGGGCATGATGACGGCAAATGGAGCAGATTCTTGAGAGGAATGGCAGGGAGTGGGCGTTGGGTGAGGAGGAGGGAGGAGGAACGCAGGGGGGCAGGAGGACAGAGGTGGGAAGGCGTGTTGGAACAAGGAGCGGAATACGGTGGTGATGTTAGTGGTGGCAGTGGCGAGGGTAGCAGTGGTGGCAGTGGTGCTAGCAGTGGTGGCAGTGGTGGCAGCAGTACAGGTAATGTTGCTGGTGGCAGTAGGGGGCGGGGTGGTGCTGATGTTTGGGCTCGTGCCGGTTCCAGTGGTTCAACTGCAGCAGCATCAGCAGCAACAACAACAGGCCCAATCAGAATGCATGTACCCTCCCATTCTGAAAGGATTTTTTCCAGGCAGAAAACAGACACTCTTAGTGCCAGGCACCAGAAACCCCTTCCATACCGCACAGCACCACCCTCTCACTCCGCCTCTGAGTCGACGTGGCCAAGGGAAGGGGTAGCTGGCGGAGCAGTGAGACAGCAAACACCACAGTATGCAGACAGCGAGGCCTGCACACGCGAGGATGAGGGCTATTGGTCTTCCACTGACGCAGATCTTGAGTCGGGGCAGGGCGAGGGCGTGGGTGCGGGGTGCTGGGAGTCTGTGCGGCAGGAGGGCATTCTGGGAGAGCTGGGGTCGTCAGGATATGACTGGAGAAGTGGTTCTGCTGCAGGTGGTGATGAAGAAAGGGCAGGAGAAGCAGGACGGCGATCAGGAGGGCGGGGAGGAGGAGGAACAGCAGCAGCAGCAGCAGCAGCAGCTGCATCCGCTGCTGCAGCACCACGTCCACCACCAGGAGTGGGAGTGGCAGCAGCGGTAGCAGTGTCATCTGGAGCAGCAGTGTATGTGCACCCTGTGCCGCTGCGATGGTTGCTACCGGAATGGGTGCACGGGCAGCAGCTGTTTCAGGAGTGCAAGTTCGGCATAGTGCTGTATGTGAGTTGTTGAGTCGGGTAAAGGCTTTCTACGTTTGCAATAAATACTTCAGATTTCTTGAGTGACTGAGGCAGCTCCTTCATGTACTTACGTTGTGAACCCATGCTCACCCATGTTCAACCCATGATCACCGCATGCTCACCCCATGCTCACCCCATGCTCACCCCATGCTCACCCAGATGGTGATCAAGCCAGCATGTGCCCTGCTGCAGGTCGTGTTTGGCCCGCTTGGACTCTACGAAGAGGGGGACTTCAGCCCATACTCGCTGTAAGATAACCACCGACGCCACCGTGTGCCGTTGCTTACACACATATGCAGATACGCTTAGACACACACGTCCACGCATCCATGCACGCACGCACACTGGTGCTGCGCGCATCACTTGAAACCGTCACTGTGCGAGTGGTAGCACCAGTCTCGTAGTATGCATGGGATTCTTGGTACTCGGATGTGGTGCTGTAGGGTGCTGTGGTGTTGACATGGTCACGCACTGAGAGGCTCAGAGAGGAATGCATACCCTCGTAAGTGGTGATACATACGAGCAATCGCTACTTATCCTGTAACCTCTTCATGCCTTCACCCTTGCTCCCAAAATGTCGCCTTCCTCTCTCCTTCCCCCCCACCCCCCCAACACACCACCCCATCCCCACATTCCCAGCTACCCATACGCAACGCTGCTGATAAACCTCAGTCAGATGTATGCTCTCTACTGCATAGTGGTGTTCTACCACGCCATTGGCCACTACCTGGCGCACATCCGCCCCTTGGGCAAGTTCCTCGCCATCAAGGGCGTCATCTTCGTCACCTACTGGCAGTCTGTCCTCATTGCTGTGGTGGTCTTGTTCCTGGGGTTGGCTTCTGGGGGTGCGAGCCCGCTGCATGGCTTGGACTGGCAGGATGCGGTGCAGGACTGGCTTATCTGCGTGGAGGTGAGACGGGGGATTGAACGGGGTTTCACTTTTGAATCGGCTCTTAAGTCACTTCTGGGGGTGCGAGCCCGCTGCATGGCTTGGACTGGCAGGATGCGGTGCAGGACTGGCTTATCTGCGTGGAGGTGAGACGGGGAATTGAACGGGGTTTCACTTTTGAATCGGCTCATAAGTCACTTCTGGGGCTGCAAGCCCGCCGCATGGCCTGGAGTGCCAGGATGCAGTGCAGGACTGGCTTATCTGCGTGGCGGTGAGGGGCGTTCTGGGAAGGGCTTTGATCACCACTCACTCTTTTTTTTTTCTCTTTTTTTTTCTTGGAGCGAACAGCTGCATGGCTTGGAATAGCAGGGTATGGTAGCAGGTCTGTCTGTCTGTCTTAACTGCATTTGGGCCTAATGAGGGTTGGGAGAGAGGAAGGAAGGATGATGTCAAACATGTGCGTGTGGTGTGGATGCCATCAATTCTTTTTTCGCTCTGTTTTGAAATCTTTCTATATTTTCAACCCTAGCCCTAGATTCCGTTCACGACAACACATGCTAAAAGCTGCCGCCACCACTTGACCTACCCTCCCTTCCCTTTTCACCCATCCCCCTTCCCATTACCTACTCCCCATTCCCTTCCCCTATTCCCGTTCCATTCCCCTGTGCCCCTTCTTCATTCCCCTCTCATTGCCTGTGCCTCCCTCAGATGGCAGCAGCAGCGCTAGCCAACCACTGGACCTTCCCAGTCTCGCCCTACACACACTCCAGTCTGAGTCAACAGAAAAAATCATTCCCCCTGGCGCCTTCTCTTCCCCTCTCATTGCATGCGTCTCTCTCAGATGGCAGCAGCAGCGCTGGCCAACCACTGGACCTTCCCAGTCTCGCCCTACACACGCTCCCGCCTCGCTCCTGCACGCATGCAGCGCCTGCCAGCTGGCGTCGTGGCAGTGCTCGCTGACATGGCGGACCCGTCCGCCCCGCTGGACCCTGAAGAGATCCTGGCGAGCGAGGTGATTGGCCGAAGCCTGTTCACGGGCAGCACAACTACTGCTGGTGCTGCTGTTGTTGATAGTGAAACTGCTGCTGCTACTGTGGCTTCTGGAGGTCTTGGTAGTGGTGGTGCTGGCGGGTTTCGAGTAGCGGGGATGGGAGGGGAAGGAGGGGCCTCAGGAGGAGGGAGAATAGGAGATGGGAGGGACAGAAGAGGGGGTGGAATGGGGGCTGGAGGAGATGCTGATGGGAGAGGAGGCAGTGGAGTAGAAGTAGAATGGAATGCAGGAGGCAGTGGGGGATTGGCCGGTGCTCTAGCTGCAGCGTCACGCGTTGTTGGAGCGCCGTTTCGGAGAGACAGGCGAGAGGATGCATGGGAATACGCGTCTGACTACTTGGGAAGGAGGGACATGGAGGTTTCTGAGAAGATTCATGATGTCTTTGTCGGCGGTGGCACTGATGTGAGTCACCAAGTCCCTTTCTGCTAGATACTAGATACTCCCACCCTCCAATTCGTTCAGTAGCCGTCCTCAACCTTCGACTACCCTTCCACTACCCTTCCACTTCCCTTCTTGACCCTGTGCTTTCCATGCTCCCACGTTCTTGCCTCCTTGCTGTGCCGTACCTGCTCCTTCTCCACTCGTTATGCAGACGCAAGTTGATGAAAGCAGCACCACTATGTCCCTACCAGCACCACTTCTTCCCATCCACACGCCCCTAGCCCTACCCCCTGCAGTATCACTACTTGGCTTGGCAGGATACGCACCCAGCATTGCAGTGTAACATGCAACCCGTCCAATCTCCAACCCCCAATCCGCACCTTCTTTCCACCCTCTTCCTATACACCAAACCATGCATGTGTAACTGCATCCTACCCCCTCCATCCTACCCTCCCCTGTCCCAATTCCCCCCTGTCCCACCAACCACCAAATCATGGCGTTTCCCCAGGCGTTTCAGGACATGCAGGCAGCAGTGCAGCGGGGCATGCAGCCCATATCCGCCGCAGTGGAGCCGCTCACAGCAGCGGTACAGCCCTTCTCTGCTGCTGTCACCAGCGCCCACCAGCAGGTCGCCTCCACGTGGCACCAGCTGCAGGCGTCCCTCCCTGCCCTCCCTGCTGCCTTCCTCCCTGCGGTTGCCAACTCTAGAGGGAATGTGAGGGATGGAGGTGTGGTGGAGAGGAGTGGGCGTGTGCGGGGGAGAGGGGGTGGAGGAGGTGGTGGGTGTGGGGCGGATGGCAAGAGGTGGTCGGAAGATGATATAGGGATTGTGTTTCACGGCAGGGGAGGGGAGGGAGGGGCGGTAGTGGGAATTGAGGCTCAAACGATCGCGGGAAATGGTGGGAGAAGGGCGCTTGGTGCAAGGGTGATGCGGAATGATGGAGGCTGGGTGAAGGCAAGGCATGGGGAGGACTGGAAGCATGGGCCAACAGGAGGCGGCGGTCATGAAACGATCAAAATATGTGCTTTAGATGCGAATTCAACAGTCCTTCGTGTTGGAGTGGGATGTGATAGGCGTACAGATAGGCCCGTCCGACGTAGTCGCAGCAACGAAAGTGTTGCAGGGGAGGCCCTGTATTCTTTGTCGTAACACCTTCTTCCCTGCTTATCCTCCGTTCTCTCGGGTATCAGAGTGCGCGGTGAGAGAGTTACTGTATTTCTCCGTGTCCTTTTCCTAGATACTGTTGCATGCCAAGCTCTTGTCAAGACATAATATTTGGACACCGTCCGTGCCACACTCTTATCATATCACCGAGCACAGGCATGCGGCCGTCATTCTACATGCCCATATATAGAATCATGTTTCTGGTTCCGATAATGGCTGGGCATGCTGAATCACGCATTCTGAAAAACGCATTGAAACCCTTGTTGTACGGTGTACAGCTCAGTTGAAATGTTGCGGTACCAGTCAGGGAATTCGCGCACAGTTGATGGGTACCACGCATGGAAGATGGGTACCACGGAGGGAAGAAGGGTACCACCAAGGGGCGCGCATGATCTGACGGGTACCATCGAGCCACGTAAGTGACTTTTGACGTCAGCGGGCTCAATGTTGGTTACCCAGAATGTAATTACCCGATTCCGCCGTAACCGACGAAGCCTGACCTGACTTGACTGGGCTGGACCTAATCAGTTGAGGCGAAAACAACCCTCACCAGCTTCCTGGTTTCTGTCACAACAACACAAACGTTGGTTTTGTGAGAAAACGTTTTAGGACAGCAGGTTTCTAGCAGAAACCTTTTAGGACACATTTGCAAGCCGCCAGATCTTTTCCCCAGTCGAGGCTCAACTGTCATGGCGCGAAACTCGAAACTCTTCCCGTGCTTTGTCTGTCGCGTGCTGGTCGTCGTCATGCTTCTCGCGTCCGCAGCTACTACTACTACTAGTGCCTACCGTGTACCGGCGGACGGTCTCCCAGTTGTTGCTGGAGTCCAAGCTGCCGCGTACGTAACGCCGAGTCAGGCGCGCATCAAGCTCCAACCATCGCAACGTGAGCATTGTCTCCGGATGATCCTGTATGGCTGTGCAGTGGTTACAGACCACGTTGATCGAGATGAGCGTGACTCGGTGGGACGTCTGCAAAATCTTCTAACCCCAACCTAACCCTAAATTGACCTGTAGGTCACCTTTGTGTCACGCGCCCTGGTCATTCGAGAGTCAATGGGTCCGTCACGGAGTAGCCTTTTCACGAAAAAAGGTGTTGTTGAGTTGTGCAAACGTAGTAATTCATACGGAGATTGTGGTCGACGATGCATCACCATCTGTATACGAATCATGTGGCACTTGATCTGTTTGCAAGTTCCTGTTTGAACGTAGATTTTCAACGTTTTCACCTCAAAACTGGCTTAGAAGGAGAATTGCAGTGTTGCGACTTCAGGTGCTCATAACTTATGAACACCCAGAATTGCAGATTGCCGTTTCCGCGATCATGGCGGGGGGGCGGGGGGGGGGGGTGTGGAGTGGAGGGGGGTATAAAGAAGTCGCTTCTGTTTGCAACGGGAGTCATGCTTAAGAGCAATGAAGAAATATTGTTATTAGTGTTGAAGTCGTACGAAGATACAAACGAGCCCCAACAAACGACTGAGTAGTACAGAATCGTCACTCACAAACGTAACTTACAATTATCGGTTGAACCGACAATGCTTTAGGAACAACCAGCGATAGATTTTCACAAAAGCTATCATTGAAAGGCTGGTAGATGAGCACTGAATTCAGCTCTTCGTTGCTTTCTTGTATCCACTTCCTCTACCACGCCTCCCCAAGTGCAAGCGCTGCTGGCCCTGGACGGAGAATGGGGTCTGTTGAAGCACAACCTATCAAGCGCGATGTGCGATGAGTGGGCGACAGAGGACGCACGTGCGGAGTGTAATCCACAAGGCATGGTTACTTCCCTGTGAGTTCGCTCCAGTGGACGCAAGTGATAATGGGGAGATAGTTGAAGAGCAGGGCAGTGCATGCGGTGCATCATGGATAGTAGAAGAGAGGGAACACTGCAAGGGCAAAGTGGCTGTGCCATGGGAACATGCTGGGATTATTGTGGGCTGAACTTGCATGCCTTTCGTGTGACACAGGGAAGGCATTGGAGAAACTAATGCAGGCATGCCAGTAGTGTGAATGTGAGCGAGCGCGTGTGTTGTGTATGTGTGTACGCGCGCGTGCACATTCGCGCCCGTGCGTGCACCGTGCGTGCGTGCGTGATTCCTGTTACCTCATGGGTGTGTGCGTGATTCTTTTTCCCTCGAATATTGCCCAGTTACCTCATGGGCGCAGCTCTCAATGGAAGTCACCTGTGCAACATCAGCCGCCTCACTGCACTCACAACCCTGTACCGTCTCCTTCTTCTTCTTCTTCCACATCTTTGCTTCTCTCTAAACCTCGCTTCTCTCCTCTTCACATCCTTGCTTCCATGTACATCGCTTACTGTCTGTGCTTCGTGCTTTGAGCTTTCTCCACTTCCCAACCGTTGCTGCTCTTTGTTCGAATAGCACAGCACCAGTCAGTTTGTTGCATGAGCACCCCTTTCCCCACCTCCTTTTGCATACCTATGCACGGCCCCCAACTTGCAGCTCCATTGGTCTACCTCCGATGGATTACTCGATGATTGGTGCAGATTACAACGTACCACCAGAGTGAGAGAGAGACTGATGGAGATGTTGGGTTGAGGCTCTTGCTGCCTGGCAGTGCAAGCATGGTGCTAATGGCCATTTTGGTGTTTGCATAAGCTGCAGCATTGTCATATGGGAGAAGATTAGATTGTGTATGGGCAGGCGTTTGGTGGCATGGCATCTGTGAGTGCATCTCAAGGACCTGATTAGGCAGTTTGCAACCTACCACTTTAGGACCCGTTATCCAACTTCCAAGAGTCAATCTTAATCCACTCCCTTCCCCGTCCCCTCCTTCCTAAAACTTTCCCCTCTCCTCTTCTTGACTTGTGTCTTTATTAATGAAAGGAATGGGTTTTGTGGGGGTTCCTTTCTCAACTATAGTTATAAGCCCTTTTAAACCACGGTTGCGCATGGGTTACCTAAAGTGCACTCCATAATAGTTCATTAATAAAGGGGTGCTATGAGCGAGTGAATGCTGGAAAATTCAAGCACCCGTTGCAATTGCAACCCGTCATGCTCACCCTCGTAATGCAACTCCTCCAGCGTGCATGTCGCCTGTGAGCCGAGTTGTATGTTGCTGGGTCATCCATGACATGACATGATGCTCTTGACAGCCCGCATACAGCCGGCGCTGAACGGGTGTCGCGGAATTCGCTGTCTTTGTTGCCGCATGTGCCACCTTCACTACAGACCACTCTAAAACCCACGCCCTTTCCCCTTTCACTGCATGGCTCAACTCAAATGTGCAGGCCCATTGAGATCCCTCAGCCCAGTTTTGATCAGCCCAATCCGGATCAGCCCAATCCTGATCCATATGTTGAGGATTACCCAACACAGTGTGATGAATGGGCTGGGCACGTTGGGGGCTCTTGTTACCCGTGAGTGTTGGTGCAAGTCATGTTGAATGCCATGGTGCATGCATGCATGGTGTGTGCAAGATACTTGCAACAGCTGTACCAGCATGACAAGGGTGGCTGGCTGTATTTTGTGTGGGCAGGTATTTGGTGGTTCATGCGATGTTAGAGATGCTAGTCCTTGCTACTGCGATGCACAGCACCCTGATTAGTACAATACGAATCAGCACCTTGTTCTGAAGGGCACAGTGCGGCAGGGCAGCTCATAATAAGACAATGCCAGCCGTGCGGTCCAAGCTGCTCCATTCACGCGCCCCTCAATGCCTCTCATTCTCCACCCTGCTCAATCCCACGTGCTCACTTATCCATGCACCCATGCTCTACCCCTGCTGCAACTACTGCTGCTACGGTGACCTTTCACGCTGCTTCAAACGCAAACCGCAGAAAGCCAATCATGCAACTCCACATCCCTTCCCCCTGCTGCCTGTCTCTCTCGCAGAAGCATTCCCGTGAATCAGTCAACCATGGGTCCCCCTGTGATGCAAGGCTCTATGGACGACCTCTCATGTCTCGCCCCACTTACCCGCCTCCAGATGCTGTACTCTCTCCTCTCTACGTCATCCCTACCATCCTTCCCCTCCCCTCTCATTCATCCCTGCCCGCCTCCCCCTCTCGCTTTGCCAGTGCTAGTCCTTCTTCAATGCTTGAAAGTCAATTCATCAGCAGCATCACTCATGGAATCAAGCCCTCCTGCTAACCGCACAGCACCCATCTAAGTGGCTTTTTTTAGTCGACTCAGAAGCCATCTCATTCGTGGAATCAATGAGTATTTCTACTACCTATTCATTGCTCAGTAAAATCAAATCTTCCTACAAACGCGGGACACCCACCCACCCAAGAGCCCCACTCTCCCACATTCCATTCCACATGTCCATGCTTGTGAGGGTTTAGGGTTACAGGTTTAGGCTAAAGCCTGTGCATCTTCTTCAAGGCCTCACTCACTCGCACTCTCTCCCTGCTTCTCAGCTCTCAAGTCGAGTGTCAACGCCATTCCACCATTGCCTCTCATCCTCGCTCGTGCTTCTCTGTCGTTCATGCTCACTTCTCCTCAGCACCCTCTCGAATCTCAACCTGACTGCTGGAGCGCTTCCTTCCTCTCTCTCTGCACTTACTTCACTGAGCCTTCTGTAAGTCTCTTCATCTGCTTCCCTGCTCCTTGAGTGCATGCCTTGTATTGTTCAATCCCTTGTTTGGTAACCACCAAAGCACAACGATGATATTGCTGTCATATTCGACATGCGCCAGGTTAGCTCCTGGGCATGTGCTTGCCTGTTGAACACAACGCATCTCATATTCGTATCATTGCAACACAGTCGAGATTAGCAGCAACGCATACCTCTTAGGTACTTCCTTTCAATGAGAACAAACATTCCTTCTTTTTGAGGGTGCGTAGGTCCTAATAGCGAACCATCAAGACTTCCCCATCGTTGCACCGGCGGGGCTCAGCGGGATCTTAGGGGTGTGCTCGGCCTCACTCCCCCTTCTCTTCTTCCCTCTGTGGCAGTGACCTAAGTTTCCTTCGCATCACCCGCTTACCGAAATGGATCAGTTCACTCTCCAGGCTTGCCTATCTGTGAGTGGAAGTCGGAACCCCACGCAGTTATAATTCTCTCCATATAGAAACCGCAAGTCATGAGACGATTTTTAAGGCGCCTAAAAAATTACCGCAATGGATCAGTTCACCCTCTAGACTCACCTATCGGTGAGTGGAAGTTGGAACCCCACTCGGCCCCGCCTATCATCAGCACTTTCTAGCGTTCCTTGCAACTTTGTTCAATAGAGGCCAGTGCACGTCCGTTCTGACTTTTGAGTGGGCTCAAGTGTCTTCCTGGCGTTCCTTGCATTGCGAGTCGTTCAATAGAGGCCAGTGCATGTCCGTTCTGTGTGATCCGTCTCCTTTCCCCGCCCCCTCCTTGCACCACCTGTGACTCGCTACAGTCTTGGCACCTGCGCATTCACTCTCTGCTTGCATTGCTCGCTGCTGGAGCTTTGTCAAGGCTTGCTAGAACCTGCTCAAGCTTGTCCTTCCCTGATTTGTGCCGCCTTTTTTCGAATGCATTTCTCATGCTTCCCTTATGCTTCCCTCATGCTTCCCTCATGCTTCCCTCATGCTTCCCTCATGCTTCCCTCATGCTTCCCTCATGCTTCCCTCATGCTTCCCTCATGCTTCCCTCATGCTTCCCTCATGCTTCCCTCATGCTTCCCTCATGCTTCCCTCATGCTTCCCTCATGCTTCCCTCATGCTTCCCTCATGCTTCCCTCATGCTTCCCTCATGCTTCCCTCATGCTTCCCTCATGCTTCCCTCATGCTTCCCTCATGCTTCCCTCATGCTTCCCTCATGCTTCCCTCATGCTTCCCTCATGCTTCCCTCATGCTTCCCTCATGCTTCCCTCATGCTTCCCTCATGCTTCCCTCATGCTTCCCTCATGCTTCCCTCATGCTTCCCTCATGCTTCCCTCATGCTTCCCTCATGCTTCCCTCATGCTTCCCTCATGCTTCCTCCATGCTGCTCTCGACACATGGGGCTAGAGAAAAAGCCATGATGGCTAGAGGGAAGCACGATGACTAGAGGGAAGCACGATGACTAGAGGGAAGCACGATGACTAGAGGGAAGCACGATGGCTAGAGGGAAGCACGATGGCTAGAGGGAAGCACGATGGCTAGAGGGAAGCACGATGGCTAGAGGGAAGCACGATGGCTAGAGGGAAGCACGATGGCTAGAGGGAAGCACGATGGCTAGAGGGAAGCACGATGGCTAGAGGGAAGCACGATGGCTAGAGGGAAGCACGATGGCTAGAGGGAAGCACGATGGCTAGAGGGAAGCACGATGGCTAGAGGGAAGCACGATGGCTAGAGGGAAGCACGATGGCTAGAGGGAAGCACGATGGCTAGAGGGAAGCACGATGGCTAGAGGGAAGCACGATGGCTAGAGGGAAGCACGATGGCTAGAGGGAAGCACGATGGCTAGAGGGAAGCACGATGGCTAGAGGGAAGCACGATGGCTAGAGGGAAGCACGATGGCTAGAGGGAAGCACGATGGCTAGAGGGAAGCACGATGGCTAGAGGGAAGCACGATGACTAGAGGGAAGCACGATGACTAGAGGGAAGAGAAGCACGATGGCAAGAGGGATAGATTCAAAGTGTATGCTGGTGCCACTTGTTTCTTGTGCTTTTCGAGACGTCTCAAAAATACCATTCCTCTCCACCGACTGAGTTCCCCATGGCCCCACTCCTCGAACTAAATAGTTCCCCGTGCCTCTCCTCCACCCTCCTGCCCTTGACCACCCTGCAGGGACGTCACTGGCACCTTTGACGTCCACCGCATCGCACCATTCCCCACCGAATGGATGGCGCTCTCCGGGCTGGTCGCTTTGTGAGCCATCCACCCTGTCAAGTCAAACGCACACACTGTTTTGCGGTTTGACACACCTTGAGCCGCCCAGACCACCAACCATTCCTTTGTTACACTTTCCCATTGCCAATCAACCCACTGCCTTGTTTTAAAGTCAGCCTTACACCTCATCCTTTGTATTTGTACCTTTTAAAGCCTAGTTTAGTGTATATGAAGTTTTTATGATTCTGGTGTTACAGCAACATCACAACCCTACCTGAACACAATCAACTGAAAACCCCAACCCGCCCATGGGAGATTTCAGCCAGTCTCATTGGGGATTGCCCCCGATTTGCTACCCATCCACCTTTTGGCCAAGCCGAATGTACTTGAGAGCTTTGAGCTGAGCTCATTACCTATTGTATGGATCTAACCCCGAGTACTCACACCTTGCCCACCAGCCAGCCACCAGTGTGTGCGCCTCTCCTCTTGCCCATCCCCTCCCCTCTCCAGGCGGGCCAGTCTGAATGGCTTCACTGGCTCTATTCCATCCACCATCTCCGCCCTCACCTCCCTCTCTAACCTGTAGGCCTCTTGCTCTTCTCTTACCTTTGTCTCCTCCTCCTCCTCCTCCTCCTTCTCCTTCCACTGAATTCAGATGAGATGTAGTTGTTGTAGAAAAGGAAAGATAAGACCAGCTTGTACACAGAAGCACCAGGTCGAGAGCACCAGGTCATTGTGTGAAGACTGTTCATCCTATGAAGGCAGTTCCTCCCTCATGTGGTCTTCTCCCACAAAACAGCACCAAACCTTCCCACCTCCCTGCAATGGCCCCACCAGGGATCTCAGTAACAACAACCTTTCAGGGAGCATCCCTGCTGGCATCAGCAACCTCACTTCGCTGGAATATCTGTAAGGCCTTTCAGCCCAATCAGCATGCCAACAAATGAAATCGGCTCGTGAAAGTGAAAGCGCCTCTTGGCGGATCGGCAATGGAATAGGGGGGGCGATTTCCTTCTGAGCTCACCCAAAAGCACCCCACCTCCCAAAAGTCGTCGGGTTGTCTCAAGTCAAGACAGTTCAAAGGGAACCACGGTTTGGTTCTTTGCTCACTATACGTACAGTTATGTCATATGTATAGGAACCCAGCCCCTCCTTTTCTTTCAACTTGATCTTCTTAAATAACCTCCTTCCCTTCCCTGTCGTCTACCTCCGCAACATCACACGCAGCAGCCATTACCTCAAAGCTGATCCCTGCACTGTGGAAATACTCTCCAGCAAACAGGCGCTAATTTGCACAAAGAAGCCGCATGGCACTGTCCTTCCACAACAGACGCATTTTTCACATGCCTGCCTTGGCCGTTCCCCGTGCATGTCTGCCTGCCTGCACACAACACAGGCGGCTCTCCCACAACAATCTCACCGGCGCCATTCCACCCCTCACTCACGGACCCTTCCAAACCATGTGAGTCTCCAAGGCCTGCGGCGCTTTGCGTGCGGACGCGGATACAAGTGGCTTGGATTGCATGTTGCAACGCAACTCCATGTTGCACTGTACCTTGCATGCTCAGTCAGTGTCAGCCGAACAAAATCAGGCGGTGCGGTCTTGCGGGTGGTTTCCTTCCTTGTATATCTTGTTTCATCTCCTTTCAACTCTCTGGGAACACCCCGTGCGATCCTCCTGTCCTGCTGTAGCTTCGGCACGATATGGGTGTGTTCCGTGGCATTCACAACAGCTTCAGAATGCTCTCTGTGTGTCTGTCTGTGTGCCACAATATAACGCTTATTCCTTCTCCCCTCTTATTCACCACCACCCTCTCATTACAATGCCTGAAGCTCGCTTTGCTTCACAGCCTTTCCTCGTGCTCGTCCCATTCTGATGCTGTTGCGTCCGTCCGTCTAACATGTGCCTCTCAAGAAATGTATCCCTATAGCCAGTCACTCAGCGTGCATGTCTCCACGTCCCCTCCCCTCTGCCTGCCCTCACTGCGCACCCCAACAACCCGCCCTCACTATGTGCAGAGATCTTTCCCACAATCACCTCACCACCTTGCCTCCTAACATCAGTAGTGCCTCGGAGATGTAAGTACAGGGTGATTTAGATCACACGCACATGATGGAGAGGCAGGGAAACAGGAGGAGGGGCAGGGGAAGGTGCAGTGCATGCAGGATCTCACCATTATCGTGGCAACAGCTTTGCCATGGCCTGGAAGGCGGAGTTCACAGCGCACAAGAAAGCAAGAAGTGTTCTGATCTGAGTCGAATTAAAAGTGCAGGATCTCACCATTCTCCTAGCAAAAACCTTACCACGGCCTGGAAGGCGGGGTTCACATTCACAGTGCACAAGGTGTGTTTTGAGTCGACTCAAAACACACCAAAACACACCTGGAAGGCGGGGTTCACATTCACAGTGCACAAGGAAGCATGCAGCCTTAGCTCGCAGGTGGGCTTGCCTTTTGTCTTCATCCACCCCCCACCCAACACCAGATGTTAGCATGGTTTGGTTTCTTCTGCTGCCTTAGGGGCTGCGGACCTAAGTACCAACGCTAGGAATGGTGAATCCGTCTGCTCCTAATACCTCCTCACCCACTAGGGCACCAGAAAGGCTTTCGGGCAGCTGCCACCCACTGCAAAACCTGCATCGCAGCAATCAGATGTGATTTTTCGCCATGGCTTTTGCACCGGAGGGCACAAGCTGGGGTGCTGTTTTGCCACTTACCTTTTTCTGTACTTGTCGTGTGTCGATGATGTGATGGTCCATTTGATAGAGACATGGATGGGCGATGTTGCTTCAGATAGGGATTTGAAGTACAATCAGTTTGTGTTTTGAGATCAATAACACTCGAGTAGAGTCGGGCCGACAAGATTTCTTTAGTCTATGCATCGCCGACTAGCAGTCAAGTTTGATACAAGCAGTTAGGTGACTCATATGAGTTTGTACCGAGTGAGTGCTGAAACCGAGAACTGATGGCTCGAGAAGGTGGTTGGCAAAGCTTGATGGCATCAAATGCATGCTCCCTCCTTGCTCCCGTTCAGCAATCTGAGCCACAACGACCTTAAGGGGGTTGTGCCCGCCTATGGCTTCGACCTCAACTTAAAGAACATGTGAGATGTGCCGGCCCCCCTTCGCTCGCGCCACACTTGCTACTCGAACGTGGAAGGCACGTGAAAGATCACGGGTATCGTTGGAAAGGTTGGGGGCGGAGTGTGCAGACATGCTCAATGCTTGGTGAAGGAACTTAGGTAGAGTGAGCTGGTCGTGTAAAGGAAGTCAAGGACTGGAGGAAACTCGGAAGGTGTCACCAGTAGCATCATGGGTTGGAGTTTTTGGAAGATCACATTTGATTAGGGTTGGGATATTGGTGTAACTCCCAACCAACAAGCTATACTATCCTAGCCTAGCCTAACGAAGGGTATGGAATGTACAAGTACAGTCACTGGTTGCCATGGCCTTCTCTCACATGCACATGGTTTTCTCTATGTATGGCTCACTCACACATGCTGCCCACATCTTCGTTTAGAACCACTGCGCATGCACAGGAGTCAAGGGGTTGCAGTAACAACAATGGCTCGTCCTCCCCTCTTTCCATCCATCGCACTGCATGCCTGTAATTCAACTCCACTGCCCTCATCACCAGTGCTTGCTTGCCTTGCTAACCATCTCTTGTGCCCTCCACAGAGACCTCAGCTACAATCCTCTCAGTGAAATCTCGGGTGGGCTTTTTGTAGACCACTCAGTGGCTGTAGTGGATTCACTGTGAGTGACACTCTAGAGTAGCGCACTCACAGTGTAGCATTTTATTGTGCATTGGATAGATCAACAGTGGTTGCCTTTAAAGCCAGGGTCTCACGTACTACAAGTGTTTTGCAGTTGACAGTGCAAGTTTGTTTGTGATTGGTTGGCGAGTTGTGAGGTTTGAAGAGGGGTGAAGCGAAGGGTACGAAACGAATCCAAATCGCTAGGTGTAGCCGAACCTTCTAGGTTTGTAAATTTGGTTCGGATCCAAACCTAAAATTCCCCAGAATCGTCGAAAGTCTCAAGTACTCAAAACTTGTTGTGCAATTGCTTTTGAGGCACTGACGGGGGTAGGTTTCCAACCCAACCAAAGAGAAATTCGCCTGCACTAACTAGGTAACCTAGCTTCAACTGCTTTGCGGTTGAGGGCTGCTTTGCTTACTTGAGACCCTGGCTTTAATGTTGTAGTTTTCATTTTAGATATTACAGTGATGATTTCCACTCGTCTCACGTCTCAACCTGGAACAATCTAGTCTCTTCTCTAGTCCTTCCTGACCTCTACCATCGATTCATCCCCCCTTTCCTCCCGTTCGACCAAACCTCCCCAACCCCTCCCCCCCTACCCCCCCCCTCCCCCCCAACCCCCTCTCCCCTCCCTGTTTACTCTTCCACTCTTATTTCATCCACGGATCTGCCTCCCCTCGCTCTTATTTCATCCACCAAACCTCTCTTTTTAGGAATTTCTCATCATGCAACTTCTCAGGCCCCTTTCCATCGCTGGCTGATATAAGAGTAACAAACATGTAAGTATCTCATGGGCCTCTTAAAGGCTCATAAGTCTCAGCATCACTCATTCCATGAGTGCAACACACTGCCTACTGCATCCAAATCCTGCTTTAGGTTCAGGATTTGCTCAATCAACTATATCACCTCATTCCTTAATCTCCCCTTTTTCCTTCTACATTCCTTCATTCATTACGCCCTCCCACCCTCCATTCTCTCTCATCTCACTGTCTGCATGCATCATTGTTCACCTTCCCTGACCGCCCTTCCTCCTCCACAGTGACGTGTCTAACAACAGCTTCACTGGACCCTTCCCCGACGTTCTCCGAAATGTTGACGCCTTCAGCTACCTAACAAACATGTAACGCATTCCACATCATGTCATGCACATGCCTTTTCTCCCCATCATTCAGCTCTGCATTGCTGTAACACTTGCCCAGCCATACCTTTCGTTGCTTTCAACCATACCCTTCGTTGCTTTCAGCCATACCCTTCATTGCATACAAGACAAGCCATACCCGTTACTGCGTGCAGCAACCTCGCACACAACAACTTCACGGGACTTCTTCCACCAAATATCTATGGCATGTTCATGTTGGAAAATCTGTAAGGTTTTATCCGCATCCTTTCATTCCCAGTATACTTCGTGGCGCGTTGGTCGTTCCATGTCTAAGGGGCTATCCTCCTCTAACGCCTGCACCGTTTCCTTGCCCGTTCACTTGCACCAACAGGAACATCTCCCACAACCGCTTTTCTGGCGTTGTTCCAAGTGCCATTTGGAGCTTGCTTCCCCTGAGGTCCCTGTGAGTGCTGTGCGGCCCCTCATCCTGTCAGATCGATTCTTTCGTTAAGCGAATCGTAAGGAGCGACACGTGAAGACTTTGATGGAAGGTGGAAACGTGGTTGTTTGAAACGACTGCAAGTCTGCTGGTTGACCAACCAACTTACTGTGGGGTGTGGCGTTTGTACAAATGGTGGCAGTTGTGAGTGGATCTAGAAACCACAGCTGCTTGTGTTTGCTGCAAGGAAATAAAGGTGGAAAATCCTGCACCTGAATAAATTTGTCGACTCAAAAATAAATTCATGCATCGGGATCATGCACCTGAATTATGCAGTACACGTGTGCTTTTGAACATGCCATGGCCCATGGGTTGCTGGATGGATCACTCCTCACTGCAACTCGTTGCCTCGTATGCATGTCACCGTCTCTTTACTTCCTTCCACCATCGCCCATGCGCTCTCTGCAGCGCCATGGCTCACAACCAGCTCCAGGGGTCTCTTCCTACTGTAATGGATTTCGTAAAGCTCACTGTTCTGTAAGCGCCTTGAAGTTGCTCCATAATGGAAGGAGGGACGGGCGTATGCTGAACGGTTTGCCGCCTGGTCGCCACTTGATTTCAGTCAACACGAAGAAAAAACTCAGTGTGTCACATGTGTACCCATGACCATTCATTGTCGTGCGTACACTGCTATTCACTCCCCCCTCCCCATCATGTGCCGTGGCACTCCACACAGTGAGCTTCAAGGCAATGCATTCTCCGGCCCGGTACCCGACCTTGCATCTTGGAAATTCACATCTCTTCTTGTTCTGTGAGAACACCTCTTTGTTTCCAGCCTTCTTGGCTGCTTGTTTATCATCTAAATGAGCGGGACAGGAGCAGTTAGATTTCTTTGTTTTTTTTTTTTGCGCCCGCCCATTAGAATAGTCACATGTGATCTAGCAGTCCCATGCCTAGGCATCACATGGATCAGAATGCTCGGAAGCTACTAGTCATTTTGAGCAGAGTGGCATGTTTCAAACGATCAGATCCTCGTTTTTCTCACATCTTCTCCCCCTTACTCTCTCTCTCGCCTTTCCTTCACCGTCCCACAACCCACTTACCCACCCACCCACCACCGTGCCCCACTCAATCCCCAGCGATGTGAGCGACAACCAGCTCAATGGCTCCCTCCCTGACTCCATCTCCCGCCTCCTGACGCTGCAGCACCTGTGAGCCGCAAGCATCCCTTTATGTAGCACGAGGCAGAGGTGCTGCTGTGAAGCAGGGACGGCCTTTAAGGCAGGGTCGCTGCCTTGGTGCAATATTGGTGCCCTGAGCAGGGGCGTTTTCTGAAAACAGGGGTGCTTCAAAACAGGGGGCGATTTCCTGAAGGACACTCTATCTGGGTCAATGAAAGACAGAATTAGCTGGGATGGCGCTGCTGTAAAAATTTAAAGCGATCTCCCTGAATCCGTCCCTCCCTAACTCCATCTCCCAATTTGCAACGCTGCACTGCAGCACCTGTGCACCGCAACAGCTTTCTTGATCAGGAGAGAGGGTGCTGTTGTGAAATAGGCATGCTCTCAGAGAGCCACCGACGCTACCTTGCTGCCTGGAAGCAGGGGCGTGGGCGTCTCAAAGCTTCGTGCACACTTTTTGTGTCAGCCGAATAATGACAGCACTACCTAGCTGGGGTGGCGCAGCTGCAAAACTGGCTGCTGTTGCATTGCATTGTATTATGCTGAGCTGCGCATTCACCATTGTGGAATGTCTAGTTTTGAGGCGCCTCAAAACTTGGCTGGCACTGCTGCAAAACTGGCTGCTGCTGCATTGTGTTATGTCAAGCTGCGCATTCATCGTTGTGGAAAGCTGATGATGCACCGTGTTACCCGTGCTCGCATATATATGTTGGCATGGCATGGCACGGCATGACATGGCACGGCCTGGCATGGCATGGCATGGCATGGCATGGCATGGCATGGCATGGCATGGCATGGCATGGCAGGGGCCTTGGAGGCAACAACTTGAGTGGCCCCATACCTGCGGGCCTGGGTGGACTTATCGAGCTGACGTCCCTGTGAGTGGCACAACATGTACCCGTCCATCACAAGCCTGGATGTGACTGCTATGTGACCGCTTTTCCAGCACAGCTCTTACAAGGTGGCTTTTGAGTCGACTCAAAAGTCACTATGTGACCGCTTTCCCAGCACAGCTCTTACAAGGTGGCTTTTGAGTCGACTCAAAAGTCACTATGTGACCGCTTTCCCAGCACTGCTCTTACAAGGTGGCTTTTGAGTCGACTCAAAAGTCACTATGTGACCGCTTTCCCAGCACTGCTCTTACAAGGTGGCTTTTGAGTCGACTCAAAAGTCACTATGTGACCGCTTTCCCAGCACTGCTCTTACAAGGTGGCTTTTGAGTCGACTCAAAAGTCACTATGTGACCGCTTTCCCAGCACTGATCTTACAAGGTGGCTTTTGAGTCGACTCAAAAGTCACTATGTGACCGCTTTCCCAGCACTGCTCTTACAAGGTGGCTTTTGAGTCGACTCAAAAGTCACTATGTGACCGCTTTCCCAGCACTGCTCTTACAAGGTGGCTTTTGAGTCGACTCAAAAGTCACTATGTGACCGCTTTCCCGGCACTGCTCTTACAACTGCCACCTTTCCTGCTTACCTTACACATCGGGTGCATTCCAGTTCTCCCTACCTGATCACGTGTTCCACAGTTAATGCAGAACAACAGTGCTGGGCAAAGTGTGAAATTGGACACTGGTAGCAAAATTGATGATATGCAGACTGTATAAGACTCGTACTCATTAGACCATAGTAGCTGCGAGGGTCCTCCAATCGTGCAGTACGACACATCCGTCCAAGTAAACTGGTACTTCTTGAAGGAGACAACCTGATGGACCTGTAGTGACCGGCCCACACAAGATTTGCAGTTGTGAGATGTGATATGTGTCCGTCCGCCCTTCTCCCATCTTTTGCCTTCCCCCTGCGTCCACAGGAACATCTCAGGCACACGGCTGACCTGCCCTGCAGTCGGCAGCAAGTGTGTGGTGCAGCAAGCCAGTAACTCCAGCTTCTGCCGCCTCTGCTCCTCCTTCTGCTCCTCCTGCACGCCCCGTGCATGTAAGGCAATCCATGATGCCTTGACTGAACAGAAGCAAGCATAAGAACGATGCCAAACCGGTTCTTGAACGAGCCTGCGAAACAAGTGCTTGTTGACTGGATGCGTATGCTTTGCAGAGTATGCTTTACCTCCGTTTAACCTGCATCTATATTTGCACCTGCTTTCCAGGGTCAGCACTCGCTGAAGCACCCGCGTCGGCAGCAGCACCAGCGCCAGCAGCAGCGCCAGTCCCAGCAGCACCTAAAACCCCATCGGCATCTGCTCCTTGCATGCTAATTTCTGCTGCCATCCACTCTGGTGCTGCTGCTGTTGCTGCCCTCTCGCTCCTGGTGTTTGGGATGTGAAGAATCGAGTTTCCACAGCTTGCCATGTTTATATACTTCTGGGCTGATGCATTTCGGTTCAAGTAACGCCTGAGTTTCGCTTCAACTGGTTTTGCTTAGTGTTGAAGAGAAGATGTAGTCAGTTTTAAACATGCTTGGAGAGGTGCAAGCTTTGAGACTTAATACAAGCCTGCATCTCAGCTGAATGTCGGACCGTGAGGCATGAATGTGCTGTCAGACAAAACCTGGATGCTTGTTTGGATTTCAAACGGGTCGTTTACAGGATATGATTTTGTGGACTTGCTGAATTCCGGTAGTTAGCTCGAAGGCAAGTGCCATGCACCTGAACTAAATAATCCCCCCAGCTCTCACCTCATAACCACTCCAAGCCTAGCTGACTTAGGGTGCCCTCTACTTTCCACTCTTGCCACCTCCCCAGCAGGGTCTTTGCTAGCTTTCATATACATATAAACGGTACATGTTTTTCAATCCCTGCTTGATTCCTACATATTCCTACCGCACTGGTACTAAGAGAATGGCAGAACGAGGTGTCGTAAAATACGGCACTCAGCAAAACCAGAGGCAAGGGTCACGGAGGCGGAGCACTTAGCTAAGAAGTTGGAGAAGCGGTGATGCAAGCAAAAGGGGGGCATGGCAGTTGTGAGCCCCACCCTTCTCTCCTCTCCCTAGAAGGAACACACGCAGAGATGGAGAGCGAGGGAGACGAGGGGGTGAGAGAAGGCGCCTCATTCCCTGGTGTCAGGTGAGGCGAGGTGCAAGGCAACTGGGGGGAGGTGGCCACTGGTGGAGGCGCAACCATACACTACACATCCCCCAGGATACCTTAAGGGGCTATAGGCTCTAGGGCACAAACCCGAACCTAAGGGGTGATACAATCTGAACCGTCTGATAGGATCGTCTCAGGTTGATCGCACGGAGTGTAGAAGTGGAAGGTTTGCTTGGCAATGTCGAGTACGACCTCTGTCAGTAGAGGGAGATTTGAATCTCGATAGAAGTGACTAATACAATGCGGTACACGGGTTTATATAGGAATACAGTGGAATACGAAAGGACCTAGCTAGCCATGTAATTTGAGGGGGTACATTCCCCTTAGGGCTAATCTAGATGCAGGATTGCAACCGTGCGGTTCGGTAACCGTACGCGGTTCGGTAACCGTTTGAAGTTTTCCCGCGCTTTGCACTTCGAATTCTTCTTGCTTGTCGCCGTTTGAAGTCTTCGAGAACTGTCTTGTGTGGAGATAACTACTATAACGGGAGCTAGACTACGGGCTAGGCACGGGTGCTCGTGTGATCTCTGCGTTCGTTGGTCCTTCGTCGTTTTCCTAGTGCGTACACTCCTTGCAAGTTCACGAGGTAATTTGGCAAGAGTTTCACTAGAGAAAGTTGACAACAATGGTACAATGAAGTTGACATGGCAAGACTACATCAGAGCTAGCATTCAGGTCGGTCGACTGCCAGCGCAGCATGGTCGACCGCGTTCCAGCACGACTTGGTCGACCGCGCTCCAGCAGTGCAAAGTCGACGGCGTGCCAGCATCGCAGGTTGACGGCGTGCCAGCGCTGCTCACGCAGAACAACAGCGCACCAGCTTCGCAGGTGCTCGCAGATGATTGGCGCGCTAGGCCTTGTCACCTGCACACCGCACATACCAAGTCAACCTGGCACTGGCGATTGCATCTGATCAGCCACGTCGACCTCGGGATGCCACCTCCGAGGTCGGACTCGCCAACTTCGCCTGGGCGACCGTCGCACTCCTCCGCAGAACTTCGTCACCCAGGCAACCTGGTCAACTGGGCAACCACGTCGACCAGCTGCTCCTGTATGTGTCCGTCGACCTCCCAAGTCGACGACCACCCCAAGTCGACCTCACCAGGTCGACCACGCCCCTGGTCGACCAGCTCCAGGTCGACGTCACTCCTGGTCGACCAGCACTCCTGGTCGACCAGCTCCACGTCGACCAGCGCAGTTGTCAGCCGACCACCCAAGTCGGCTACCCGAATTCGGCATCACCAAGTTGACGCCCAACCACTCGACGCCCTGCTGCTCGGCGTTCTGAGTTGTGGTAGACGTCGGCCCCTCCTACGTCGACCACCAGGTCAGGTCGACCACCAGGTCGACATCACGCCTGGTCGACCTACCATCAAGTCGACCAGCAGGCCTGGTCGACCAACCACCAGGTCGACCAGCAGTCTTGTCAGCCGACCACCCAAGTCGGCTGCCCCAAGTTGACGTCATCAAGTTGGCGTCCTCCGTAGGTCGACTTCCCAGGTCGACCTCCCTAAAGTCGGCGCCACCCTGAGGTCGGCGCCCGTGCAGTGGCCCCCGTGCAGGTCGACCTCCTCGTCAACCAGCTCGCTCACTGCTGCAGGTCGGCTGCTCCCCTCACACCCGACCACGAAGTCGGCTCCGCCCAAGCGAGGACGGGGCCAACACACAACTCCCGTTGACATCTTGTCACTCGGTCTTCGTCCTCGCTGCAGACATCTTCGTGTTAAGGATTCGTTACTTAGGAATGTTTATTCCACAATTTCATATCGTAACAAGGGGTTTACCCTAAATAGGAGGAGGAAGAAGGGGGGGGGGGAGGTAAGGGGGAGGGGTGGGGGTGGGGTGGTGGAGGGGGAGGGGGGGGTGGGGGTGTGTGGACAAGATGGCCGAATGAGGTACAAGTGAAGGAGAACGAGAACTCATTAGAACAGGATGGAAGATATTATGGTGCTCCTCAAGAGTCACTGCTTACTACTGGCAAAAGGGAAACCCACTTCCCGCATAGTATCCCGCAAAGTATTTCTCTTCCCTTTGCTACTAAGCATGGTACCAGTTTCCATGTGCCGCGGCGCTTGAATGCTTCCACTTCGGCGGCCATGGCTGCCCTCCATTTCCCCTTGTCGGGGACTTATAGAGCTTGGCAAACTGTCGTGGGCTCGGTGGGATGATGGGCGTCGCGAACTGCTAGGTATGGCAGAGAATGCGTAATCCAGTTATGCCTAAGGTGGCGTGAGCTTCGTCGTTGGAAATTTCCATGACATTGACATATTCGTGATCATCAGGATTTACACGGATGCTTTTCATGAGCTGTGTTGGTAGGGGTCTTCTTCCATTGGTGAGTGTCTGCGCTTTTGTAGTTACGTTGAGCTCGAACTGCATCTTTTGGATTGGTGTCAGTTGGAATGAAGGTCGGGTGTTAAGTGCTTGTAATGGGGATGATGGGTGGCTCGCCTTCAATTTGATCCTCTGGTACTTCTTCTGCCACGTCATGTTGCAAAACTGTGCTCCCCTTGGAAAACGTTGTTCGGTGCTTGCTGTGCAGCGTGGTGCTGGCAGAACAGTGGCATCATCAGCCTTTTGTAAAAGATGCAATCACGTGATCGGGTGAGTTGGTGGGTGGCAAATTCAAGGATGGTCCATGCCTGGTATTCCGGCTCTATTCCGAGGTGAATGCCCCCAACGTGCCCGGTCTTCAGAATTTCCAGTCCTTGCAGTGTGGGGGCACTAATGTACCATGCACAAAAAAACCAGCAGCATCCTGGTGTTGGGGTTTTCCTTAGTCCATGCCTTGAATGGTGAGTTGTTGTTGGACATTTCCTTTGAAGACAATATGTTATGAAGTCTGATGGTGTGGCCAATTGCGTAGGGCCAGTAAATGGGTGGTACAGCTGACTGTTTCATGAGTGCCCTCATTTTTGTTGCCATGCTCGTGTTGGTTTGCTCAGACGGTCCCTATTTGTGAGTGTAGGGCATGGAGATAATCCACTTAATTCCTTTATCGGCCTAGTACTTGCGGAAGGCGACTGAGTGGTGTTCCAGAGCTTCATCAGTTTGGAAGGCTTTGAGCTTTCTTTTGGATTGCAGCTACGCCATTTTTTGCCATATACACAAGCAATCGAAGGCATGGGAACGACTTTCTATGTTTGCTATCCAGATAAAACGCGTGCTGGTATAGTACTCCCCTTCAATCCCTTGAGCGGTTAAGGCACAGGAAGTTGCTATATACTTGGTCCAACTTCTCGAAGCGTTATGGACCGGGGTTTTTCTCGAAGAACGGAGAGAGTATTAAGGCGGTTTCATGACAGACGGTACATGTGTGCGGTTCAGCTCGCGATCGAAGTTGGCTTCTGTTTGGTAGTAGCAAGGCTGCTTCCGCAAAGACGTGACAGTTGATGTTATTGTTTAGGGCTTCCACCGAGGGATGCCCGAGTCGTTGGGGTCAGATTTTTGCTATCGGTCGATATCCTCGTGTCCGTGCATAGAGTTGGCCTTCCTGTGCTAACTTGTCATCGTTTATTTGTGTTCACCTCGAGCTGCATATGTGTCGGTGGCGAAAACTTGGAGGTTGCCAGAGGTTTTTGTGTCGGTCGTCGCTAGGAGCAGCTCTGGTCCTTCGTAAGGTACTGTAGCGTCTTCTTCACCTCGGGGTATTTCTTATTCAAGGCGATTGGTGACGACTTCTTCCAAAGTGTCGAGGCGGAAGTACCGGTTTCTGTCAGTTGTGATGGGAATGGTGTAGGGACCGCACTCGAGTGACACCTCTTTTTCTGGAGCAAGTATTTCGGTTGCGTGCTTTTAAGACATCTAATTCAATTTCTTATGTTTCTACTGCACCCACCTCCAGAACTTCCGGCTCTTGCTCTTCTGTAACTTCAGGTTGGGGGATTGT